GAGAGTGGTGTTAAGATTTCTGGCATGAGGGTCTGGTTGGAACTGCTGATGAAGGGTGTATGGGAGAAACAGAGCTGTTGTGAGGAGGGCAGTGATAGCAAGTTCATTTGTCACTGGCATGTCTATTTGGTCTTAGATAAATGTTTCAACAGGACAGAACTCAAGCTTTGAGAGAGACTGGGAATCCATCAGCATGTAAATGGTAACTGAAGAGTTGCTGAACTTGCAGCCCCCAAAAGCCTGCAGTGCAAAGAACAACATAATCTCTTTGACAGACGCCCACTTCAGGAAGTCCAAAGTTAGCAATGGCCTGTATTAAATGAGTCAGCGACAGGATAGAATTCCTCCTCACTGTTACAATCAGTAAAGCAGCCGTAATCCCAGCTTTGTGTGGGCATTCAGATCAGTGTAATCAATTTGCTGCATTAGATGCCATGAGGAAGATTTGCTGGTTTATATGTGAAATGATTGAGCTGGGTTTTCTATTCAAGTTAGGGAGACAAGATAGATCCAAGGGAAGAGTGGGAATGAGAGAAAATGCTCACCCATGTCAGGAAGAGGCTTGAAATTCTCTGTTTAAATTCAGCTGTTAGGCTTGATAAAGATGATGGCAGAAAACCAAATAGAAACAGTTAAGAGTAAGAAGTGTAGTTGGGGGAAGGATTGTGGTTCTCATAGTTGAAGCATTGAGAGGGTAGATGGGGAAAGCTAGTATGCAGTAGATCCCAGGAATTCTGAACCTGCAGGCCATGGAAAGTAGAGCAATAATGATGTTCTTGAACCTGGGAAGAGTGTTCAAGATATGGGTGTTCACCAGACTTAGAGGCAATGGGGGCTGACCTGAGAATCAGGTATAAGGGGATAACACAGATTATTTTTTAATTAAATGGGCTACAATCAAGGCTTTATTTTATTTTTCTCTTGTCAAACAAGTCTTCTGTTTGTCTACTCAAAGACTAAAAATTACAGGCCTCAATTTAAGTCATCTTCATAACAATTAGAAAAATTATTATTTCATCACATTAAAATGAAACAAAGCAAAAAACAACCAGAAACTACTACAGATAAAAACCACACATGATATTTTTTAAAAGGGAGCAGTGACCACCTAGTCTTTTGCATCTCAGATTGTACCATTCCCAACTCCCACTCTTTTTTTTCAGATTTTTTTTATTTGAATTAGAAACAAGATTGTTTTAAATGACAATCCCAATTCCCTTCTCTCTCCTATCCACATAGCCTTTCTGCTCCCCCTGGATGGCTAGGCCTTCCATAGGGTGTCATCAGAGTCTATCATATCCTTTGGGATAGGGCCTAGGCCCACCCTGTGTGTCATGGCTCAGGGAATGGGCTCCCTCTATGTGGAATGGGCTCCCAAAGTCCACACCTATGCTAAGGATAAGTACTGAACTACTACAGGAGGTCCTGTAGATTTCCGAGATTTCCTCAATGAAATCCACGTTCCTGGGGTCTGGGTCAGTCCCATGACGGTATCCCAGCTATCAGTCTGGGGACCAAGAGTTCCCCAATGTTCAGGTCAATTGTTTCTGTGGGTTTCACCAGCCTGGTCTGGACCCCTTTGCTCTTCACTCATCCTTCTCTGCATCTGGATTCCAGTTTGGTTCAGTGATTAGTTGTGGGTGTCTGCTTCTACTTCTCCCAGCTGCTGGATGAGGGCTATCGGGTGGCATATAAGTCAGTTATCAATCTCATTTTCAGGGGAGGGCATTTAAGGTAGCCTCTCCTCTGTTGCTTAGATTATTAGCTGATGTCATCATTGTAGATCTCCCTAGTGCCTGATTTCTCTGTAAACCTAAAATGTCTCCCTCTATTATGGTATCTCCATTCTTGGGATAACACAGGTTTTAGCATCTGTGTTTCAGTGGGACAAAGTTAGGGAGATTGCAGGTCATTGGGGATGAAGAATGGAGATGATGGTGATGGTTGACATGTATCAGGTTCTTCTAGCGTTTTATGTTCCTAACATAGTGCTTTGAGGAGGCTTGTTTAATACACGGATATTGTATCGCACAACTTCGCCATAATTTCTGAATACTGGATAAGATGTGACTGTGAGTTCTGTGCTCTCAAGTTCAGCTATCAGCAGTTTCAAAATATTTGACAAAGTCCCATCTGTGCTGAGCATATTCAGACCATCTTCTTGCTGTTAGTCTTGAAACAATGCAGCATATATAACAACTGTTTGTATGGAATGTACAATGCATTGGGTGCCACAGGTAGTCTGTGGGATGAGATGGGAATGGTAGCTCACTGGTAGAGTACCTACCTGACATTCATGGGGTCCTGGAATCGATTGCAACACTGAAAGAAAAAAGAGGTATCAAAAAACATGGGAGTGGAGTGGGGTAAGAGAGATGTCTCAGTGGTTAAGAGCCCTTGCTTGGCAAATGATCTGGGCTTGATTCCTAACACCTTAATGGTGACTCATTAACTCCATATAACCTATAGCTCCATATTCCAGGGGGAACCTACACCCTCTTCTGACATCTGGGGGCACTGGGCACACTTGTGGTGCACATACGTCTGTGCAGGCAAAACACCCATGTTCATAAAAGTAGACAAATCTAAAAAACAAAAGTAATTTTAAATATAAGAGATGTGTGGATAGGTGTAGGTTATTTGCAAATACAGTGTTGGTTATATAAAGGAATTGGGCATCCTTGGGTTTGGAACCAATCACATAGGCAGAAGAATGGCTACATCAGAAAATAAGGCAGTGAGTGTAGACAACTCTAAGGAGACATTTTGCATCAGTGCCAGAGAAAAATAGCAGACAGAGGTGAGGTCAAGAGACAGCTTTTCCAGGAGAAATGAACACTTCAAGGGCAGTGGGGGGAGGAGCAGGGAGAAGAGTGAGTAAAGATGCTGGAGAAGGAAGCAGAGGTGGACCAGGGTGAGCTCAGAGCAGTCAGGAGGAGAGGGGCCCAGCTTTCATGAAACTGAGAAAAGAAAGTTAAGGAAACTTTAATTTAATAACTTAAATGTTTCAATTAAAATATGAGGCAGCCTGATTTTATTCTTAACAATATCAGTTTTGGAAAGTTTGGAAAGGAAATAAGAAAATTTGTTGGATATATCTTCTTTTTCTTCTGTCCTACAGCTTAGCTTCATGAGCTTTGGAAGGGAAATGCTCAATCTTACTAAGGTTAACTCCTCCCAAACTAAATCCTGCTGTGTGGTGCTTAACTTACCATCCCCTTTGTGATTTGTACCTGATCCATCATTTTACCATGAAAATCCATTCTTTTTCACGTATATTTAATTGTTTCTCCAAAACCCTGTCTGTGGTGGGCTGTTGAGTTCTGAGGTAGAAAGAGTAGAAAGCATGGTAGCTGAAAGAATGCATGGTAGCTAATTAAAAATGGGAAGGGAAGGACTATGGACACAGTCCCTAGAAAGATAAAGAAGGACTCTGGCTAGAAGTTTGTTGTAAGACAGTTTATAAAACATGTTAGTTAATGTGGGAAAAGCACAGGGCCACTGTTTATGAGCTCCAGTGCAGAGAATCCTGCAGGGTAACTGGCATGTGGGATCTTAAGTAGCTGTAACTTGGTGATGCGTAGTTTTTCTCATGAGTAGCTAGGCAGCCTGGCTCATCAGATTCTCTCTTTAACACAGTCATAGTTAGCTACATGGTTGAGTAAACCATTGTTTTTTTCCCTCCTACAACTCCACAGTTGGAGCTTTTTTTTTTTTTTTTTTTTTTTTTTTGCGTTTACTATATCCCCCACAAAGTGGTTATGAAAACTGCGTTGAGGGGGGTAGAGAGATGGCTCAGTGGTTAAGAGCACAGGCTGCTCTTTCAAAAGACCCAAGTTTGATTCCCAGCACTCAGATGGTGGCTCACAACCACACACAACTCCAGTTTCAGGGAACTTGATGCCCTCTTCTAGCCTGCATGGGCACTGCATCCACATACATGGGTACACATACATGCACACAGGCAGAAACTCATGTTACCCAAGTCAGAAAGGCCATGATGGAGAAAACAAATACCAAATACCATGCAAGGATACAGTGGGTGAAGGGTGAGGATTCTTTATACACTACCAGTGATGATGTCAGCTAGTTCAGGCACTGGGGAAATCCATGTGGAAGTTCCTCAAAAGTAGAACTATATAACCCAGGTATAATGACTCCTTATATACCCAAAGGGCCCTAAGTAAACACATGACATATTTGGATATCCTTGTTTATTGCAGCTCTAGCCGCAATGGCCAAGTTGTACAACCAGCTTAATTGTCCATCAACAGATGAATGGAAGAAAATATGGTGTATTACACAATAGAGTTTTGTTCAGCCATAAAAAGAAAGAAATTATGTCATTTTCAGGAATAGGTGGAGCTGGAGATTTTCACATTACCTAAAATAAGCCAAGATCAGAAGGAAAAATACCATATATTTTCTCTCATATGCAGAATATATGTTTAGTTACATATATTCTGCATTAATATATATATTTAAGAAATGGAAGTAGAAGAATAACTGTTTGGAGCTAGAAAAGGATACCTGAGAGGGGATAATGGGTGGGTGGATACGAACAAAGGACACAATATGCATACATGGTATTGTTACCAGGAAGCACACTATTTTGCATGTGACGATATTCCATCAAAAAAGAAATAAGTTATAAGAGGTGACAGCACTTACGCTTGTAGGAAAATAAAGCTGCCTTTGAAAATAAACACTTGAAAACATTTAGGAAATACTGACCATGTCTAATTGCGGCAGTCATTTCAGTGTGAAAATATTTCCTGGGGAAAAGTCAATGTTTTCTCATAGACCCCGCTGTTTTAGCTACCAAACCATTTTCATCAAAACATTTTATTAACATGTACGGTGTTTTTAAAGTTCTTTTTGTGTAAACATGATCCTCCCATGTAATTATGCTATAACAGTGCCCTTGCTTATCCATCCCATACCTGGTGTTTGTCAGTCTGTGTTTATTTCCTGCCTCATGTTCAATGTCTCTTTTGCAGATATTGATGAATGTGTAAACAACACTGTGTGTGACAGTCATGGGTTTTGTGACAACACACCTGGCTCTTTCCGCTGCCTCTGTTATCAGGGCTTTCAAGCCCCACAGGATGGGCAAGGGTGTGTGGGTGAGTTTTCGGTTTTTGTTTTGTTTTCTCCCCTCATCCTGTTTCATACATCTTTACCAAAAGAAATGAATGCTATCAAAAATAGGTGAATTCAGGCAGGAACCTTCTCACCATGGTTTGCTTTATATCATAGGATTTGAGATTGCGAAAATTGTATGTCCTTTGGCCTCTGAAGGGAACAGAGACATTAAGAGGGACATTAGGGCTATTTTTAAAGGACATCTGGTTAAGTCTAGCTGAGTAGTCAGTCTCCTGTCCCCAGGTAATGAAGTCTGTCACGTGGTACTGCTTGCCTGTCTTTGACACCTCATTTAGCAGCACGTTTAAGGATAAATTACGGGCACACGGCTTCCGGGAATAACCCCAGCATGATAATGCTTCCAATTGTGCAACTGCTACTGGATAGACGGGGCTGGGAAGGCTCCCATGCCATCAGATGTCCCAGAGTGTAGTCCAGCACAGGCTCAGAGAGGCGAGCTCACATTTCATATTCTGATCAGCTGTAATGTCTGCGAACTTGTTATGAAACATGCTTTCTGTTAAAGCAGTTTCATAGGGAAAGGTGGGAGGGGGAGTTATAGAATTTACAACTTCACACACTATGCAGCCTTTTCTTTATTCTCCTGAGAAAAGAGCTGTGTTTGCCACAAGGCAGGTGCCATTCAAGGCGAAGACAGTGACTTACTTGCTTTGGAAATTTGCCAACCAAGCACCAGGTCATTTACCATTTAGACCTGACCTGGACGAACTGTAACTACTTTTCTGGTATTCGTTATGGAAGCTCAGTTAATTCCTAATTACAGAAAAATATTCAGGAAGCAGCCATGTAGTTTTCACAAATTTGCATAAACAATTGCCGAATCAAAAACCACAGGTCACTATTTAAGAATTATAAGGAAATACAGCTGTTCAACGATACAGCTAAGGTTAGCCTATGAGACTATCTTGGATGATGTAGACAGGCCTGTCATCCCAGCTCTTCTGGAGGATGAAGCCTGAGGATTTCAAGTAAGTTGAAGGCCAGCTTGGGTAATAAGACCCTGTTTTAAAATCAAAATTTAATAAATAAACATAGTTTAGCAATGGAACGTGTACCTAAAATATAAGAGAACTGCCTATGTTCAATCCCGGGTACCAAGAAAATGATGGTAGGGTTTGTTTATCTTTTGACTCACAGGCCTTGATGTGAGCTCTGCTCATCTTCCTTGCTTTATACTTCCTCAGCTTTCCTGTACCAGCGACGTTAGGCTGCTTGTGGTTGGTCACACCACTAGTCACTGGCTTGGCTGTCACTTGCTCCTTCTGCTGTGGTTAATCTCCCCTGGGCATAACATTTGATCTACAGCAAGTACTCAGTATGTACTGTTTGCTTGTTTAACACTGAAATAGCAGATGTTAACTCCACAGGGCTCCTAAGTCCCTGCTTACTGGTCATTCTAAAGGGACTAACCTGTGTGCCTAAACCGTATTGATTTTCCAGTCTGGCACATGGAGCATCACTCTTAGAGAATGGGTCTTGGCTATTACTTTGATAAACTCAGTAAATACCTTTTTAAAAAATGATTGTTTAAGAGATATTAACTAGGGGCTAGAGAAAAGCCATGGCTGCTCTTCCAGAAGACTTGGGTTCAATTCCAGCACCCACATGATGACTCACAACCATCTGTAACTCTGAGGGCACCAGGCATCTACATGGTGCACAGACAAAACATGCAAGCAAAACATTCATATACATAAAATAATAATAATACAATTTTTAAAGGGATGTTTCCTGACTACCTAATACAGGTACTTCTCCTCAAAGAATACTATATAGCATTTCAGAGAAGAAATTGTGGATCCAGTCTCTGGTAGTTCTGTTTCCTCTTACCTGGGCCTGTTCCCATGCCCCATCATATGTTCATCATTCGGATCTGGGTTCAAATGACAGCTCTCTAACATATACCTGCATGGCAGAATCATTATTGCATGCCTCTTTGGAGATGTGTTGTTTTAATTCCCAGCATCCTCTGCTTGTGGGATTTCCTTACTAATTTCTCTGACTCAACTCTAACTAAATAAAGGCAGGAGCTGGGCCAGCCTGACTCAAGATCACACCCCCACATGGGGACCCTAAGGACCTGGCCTGCTTGAGTAAGTTAAGATATACCTCTAGGTCAAATGAACGCAGTCTGGAAAGAGAGCTTGCTGTAGCCAGGCTGGTAGTATAAGCTGGGAACTACAATTTCATTTCTTATTATGTACCTAAAATTAACAAATGTGAGCCAGCCAATTTCTAGAGTCAACTTTTCTGATGGAAATTATGACCATGGTGATTAAAGACTTCAAGCCCACTTTGCTTTATGGTACCACATCTTTTTTTGTAAATGAAACTTGGGTTATTGGGTTTAAATCAGTTTATGGACAAATGAAATGGAAAAGTTAGGTAATAGTCTGAAACTTCAAGGTCCACAAGCCTATCCAAAATAAACAAAACAACTCCCCCCACACAAAAAAAACACAAAACAAACTAGGTATACAAGTGAAAATAGGCTGTTTTTCCCCACTCCTGGATGAGTTGGGTAATTGCTCACATTTTTAAATTTGTAAAGATTCTCAAGGTATAACTATGAAAGCTGGTATTTATACTTGTTAATTCCGATGAGCTGTGAGTAACTCAGGATGGAGTTGGGTACTTTGCCGACTGAGGAAGCCACCAGTAAAACTTTTTAGGAACAGAAAGAGAATTGGTCCTATTGGACAAAGTCAAAAGAATAAATAGCCTTTCTTTGGGGCGTATAAACTACAGATTTGGGTGAAGCAAATCTGTTGACTTTGCTTTAATGATATGGATTTATGGTTAGGCAAAGGAAACATTGATCAAAGTAGATGTTACAATGGGGACATCGACAGAATAAGGAAAGACAGTGGAATTGGTCACTAGTTATTGGACCAATCGGCTTCACCTGAATGAAGAACGTGCCCTGCCATCCAAAGTCTATTGTTAACTTAGGCTGAAGTGTATTTTATGACATGGAAGTATCTTTTTAAAACCTTACATCTTAAATCTAAGTTCAGATCGCCCAAGTGCAGAGGCTTCTGACTTTTCCATGAATTATGATCGATAGTAGAGCTTTGGGAGCCTTGTGTGTTCAATATGCTGATCAGCGAGGAAGACAGTGCTGGATAGTCAAAGGGGCTCACGCTATGCTCCCAGAAAACTAGAATTGAAGTTCAGAACCTTATCTTTGTGCTTGCACTGTCCTTTCATCCAGACCAAATTGTCGTGCTCTGCCTGCAGGACCCCTTTGCTGGGAAGGATGGAGTTGAGGGCTCGCTGGAAGTAGGCTGGCTTCCAGCAGCCACTGCCGGCCTTGGCACAGCAGGTAAAGCAAGAGCTGTCGGGAGACACATCTTACTGGATCTGTGCTTTCTTTTCCAGATGTGAACGAATGTGAGCTGCTCAGTGGTGTATGTGGGGAGGCTTTCTGTGAAAACGTGGAAGGGTCCTTCCTGTGTGTTTGTGCGGACGAGAGCCAAGAGTATAGTCCCATGACTGGGCAGTGCCGCTCCCGGGCCACTGAAGGTAAGTCCCAGGGGCACTGTGCAGGGGTTGGAGGGCGTCTCTGAAAATGGGGCTGATCCAGGCCTAGGCTAGACCTGGAGATGAGTGAGACAGGACATGTCCTGACACAATCCTGCCTCTGCAAATGTCCTAGTTACTATTACTGTGATGAAACATCATGACCAAAGCTTCATGGGGAGAAAGGCGTTTGTTTCAGCTTAGACTTTCAGGTAATAGTGCATCAATGTAGGAAGCCAGGGTAGGAACCTGGAGACATGAGCTGTTGCAGAGACCATAGAGGAGTGCTGCTTCTTGGCTTGCTCCTCATGCTTTGCTCAGCCTACTTTCTTATAGAATCCAGGACCTGCAGCCTGGTGGCCCCACCCACAATGGGCGTGGCTCTATCCATCAATCACTACAGTATGCTGATTTCTATGGAGACATTTTGATAATTTAGGTTCCCTCTTCACAGATGACTTCAGCTTGTGTCAAATTGGCATAAAACTAGCCAGCACAGGTAGCTTTCACACTCTTATGCCTTACCAGTAAAATGCAGGTGATGGCTATCAGGGTTAAGGGACCTCTAGCGTTCCTTCCAACCCAGCAACACCATGCTTAAAAGATTCAAGATGATGTGGACATGTGCTGGGAATTGCCTAAAATCTAGAACTCTATCAGCTAGTGTTTAACATGGCTTCATCTCACCAAGTTACATAAGCTTCCTTTCTTGGCCCTTGGGGAAACTTGTCCTGATGCTTCATTAAATTAAAAGCAACATACGGGCCTCTCAGGGTCTACAAAGACTTCCACTTAGAATTCTTGAGAGTTTTGCCAGAAGTTGGCCCTTAGAGAGTTGCTATGTTTACATTTGTTTAAAATTTGATTTAGGCCATGTTGTCACTGAATAAATTGAAATGGAGAACTGACAGCCTTCCAGATAAATTAATCACCTTCCAGATTGTAGGTTAACCTATTAGTTGGTGCCATTTAGCTGTAATTGGTTGTGTGTGGTTTTTTGGGTTTTTTTGTTTGTTTGTTTGTTTTGTTTTGTTGTTTTGTTTTATAAAGCAAAGGACCAAATGGTCCCTTGTGACCCAAATATAATGACACATAGGTTATTTTACTTTCTGGTTAAATCTCAGTGTTATCCATCTTCTCATAACAGATTTTACTATTCATGTAGAGGAGACACTTGTTCTGTGTAAAACAATTATTTTTGTACGTCATGGGAAATAAAGTGCATTTTTAGCCATACATTTTTCTCAATGATCAAATGTGGAAAGGGAAAGGGTACAGAATTAATTGGACACTGATTTAAACATATCATTTAAAGGCAAGGTGGCAGGTTATCACTGAAAGAGGGTTATTGTTCATTCCAGTAACCACTTCCATGACACCTATATGGTAAAAAGCTTTTACTTATTTGTACCTGCAGCACCAAAAACCAAAATGAAAGACTGGTTGGCCTTAAATAACCACACTGCCCTTTTTTTCTCGGTCCTCGGTTCCATTTCCAGAGTAAAGCCTTACCCACAATGTTACTTGAGATGCATTAACATATTATATATAATATTATAGCATTATTCATCTCTATGAAGATTGGTAGTCATGGTAAAAGTAAATGCATATGACACAATGTTAAATTTAAAAAAGATATTCTAGTGATGATGCTCTATAGAGGGAGGGGTGAGAACATATGAAAAGATAATCATAGGCCTTTCTGGAAATTTTAGAGATTTTCCATGTTATCTATAATGTTTTAAATTGGAAAGCCAGAGTCTAGTTCACCCACATCTTCCTAGCTGTATAAATATGGTCATCTCAACATCTTTGTGTTTGGGGTTCTCATCTATAGAATAGGGAGCGATGTTTCATTTACTTCACAGAGCTCTGTGAATTTTGAGTGAAATCATATAGGCAGTGTCACTTGTGAATGGTAAGTACAGTTGTGAATGGTAAGTACAGTATGAAATGTTACAGTGAGCTATATCCCAAATATATGAGGGAAATCTATTTCCTTGTATGGTCTATTCCTAAAGAGTGGACCTTTTCAACTACAATTGTTTTTGCTAGAGTGTTTTAATAGCATCAAGAAGTGATTCATTTATGTCACATTAGGGTACATGTCTATAACTTAAAATTTGGCATTTCTTTTTTAAAGTATTTTCTTTTCTTGTGTGTATGGGGGGGGTACAACGTTTGTGTGAAGAATCATTTTCCATTGCTCTTACATGCTATTCATATGTTATTCATTGAGGTAGAGTCTGTTATTAGCCTTGCTAGCCATCATGCCCTAGTGAGCCCCATCTCCACCTTCTGAGGTTAAAATTACAAGTCACCCTCTACTTGATGTCTGGGGCCCTGAACTAGGCCCTCAAGCTTGCCTGGTAAATGCTTTAACCACTGAACCATCTCAGCCTCTTTTTCTCCACTTAGGCTAGAGTTTAATAGAGCCTTCTTGGTATCACAAGATAATCAGAACCAGTAACTTACTGTCAACTGTATTCTACTACTTCTGTGTGTGTGTTATGTGTTACATATGTGTTATGTATGTGCAAGGAAAAGCCAGAGAACAGCATTAGTCTTCTCTTATATCATTCTTCACTCTATCTTTTGATGCAGGGTCTCTCACAGAACCTGCAGGTCTCATACTTGGCTAGACCCGGGACCTGGAGAGCTTCAGGGACCGCCTGTCTTTTCCTCTCCAGTGCCAGCATTGCAGGCATGTGCTGCCGTGTCCAGCTTTTTATGTGGGTACTGCACATCCACGCTCAGTTCCCCATGCTTGCACCACTTTACTGATGCACCATCTCTCCAGGCCACCCACCCCGCCACCCACTCTGTTACTTTGTAAGCAATAACATCTTCCTTGCTTCCTCTCTTCTTTCCTTCCTTCCTTCCTTCCTTTCTTCCTTCCTTCCT